ATGTGGTATTATATTTCCATAGAGGCACTGCAATTTGTCTAAAGAAATGTAGGGGCACTATTTTGATGCAATTACAATATGTATCTATAGGTGTAGAGGCGTTTTATAATGAACTAGTAACATGTCTCTAGACATGTAGATAATAAATGTCTTAAGATTCTATTTATTTGATAGTTTATTAAATACCTCTAATGAATGCCGTTAGACTCCACTCAAGTGGTTTTTCGAGGCATAGTACATGATACCTAAACCAAAGTGTCTTTACAAGACACTTTTACACTTTTATTGTAGTGAGTTGGAATTTGGAAAGGAAAGGATAGCATGTGATTATGGGAACGGGAATATATGATATCTAGGAGACTCTGACAGTGGTGGTGGCTCGCGGGAGGCCATGGTGGCATCGGCGCCACTCGTAGTAGGAGGCCGCACGACAGCAGCGGTGCTCGCGAGAGGAGGAGGCCCCGGCGACAGTGGCGGCATCATCTCGCGGCCAGAATTAGCGACGCTCAATGCAGGTGCCCTCATTCCCTATCCATGCATCCATGGCGGCAAGCAACTACGTTGGAGAGAGAAATTAAGGAGAGTCGTCTATGGGAATAGAGATGAACACTGCATGTTTTGTTGCTTGTGTGGTTGGTCTTTATTGTTGATATATAGTAGCTCATCCAAAAGACATATATAATTAATTAAGGACCATCTTCATTCATAATGTATATGTATCTTAGAGGGCTTAAGAATCCATTGTGGGTGCCCTACCGAAGAGCACAAGCTAGCTAACAAGGACTGAAAAGCACACAGTTCAGTCCTTGCATTGTAATAAGTTGTATAACACACGATAGACATGGCTCGTTCAGCTGCAGTCTCGTCGTCTTCGCACTAGTAGATCAAGATGATGCTGGCCATCAGCTGCGCAGTGCGCACCAGTGGCATCGGCAGCGACAGGAGGTAAAAATACGGCAGCCTGTTGCTGCAGAAAGAATTGGCGTTACTTGATCCATCATCTTTGGGCCATCCCTAACAATTTAAGTCCATTTCCGAAATATAAAATAAAATCCTATCTTTTTGAAAATACTGACAATATGACAGATCAGGGTTATATATAATTTATATTGCATTAGGACGGGTCTCTAATACCACTACATTTTTCTTAATCTTTTTTGCCTTCCAACTATGCAATGGAAGTACGCAACAATCTAATACTTCTTTCTTTAGTTATGTTATGTTATCTAACAAGTAAAAACCCGTTCGCAACTAACGACAACTTAGAGCTATACTATTAAATAAGCTCACCAACATATGTAGTGACATTGTGAATAAGTAGAATAAGAATCATTGCAACAATTCATTTTCTTCTAACCAAATAAAAAAAATAGAATCATACCACCTAGATTGCATACTCGCTTCGTTATAACGTAATACAGATCTTGGATGTAGTTATAATTGCCATCGAACACTTGTCGGAGTTGAGAAAAAATAATTTGTTCAACCCGATTAAGTGAAGCAGAAATAGTAAATTTTTTTTTTGGGGAAGGGGGGATCTGATCTAGATATCATGTCTCGATAAAAGCCAACCTCGTACTAAGATGTCTCTATGTTTAAATTTATTGTAGTAGTGACACGTCCTAGTGCGAGTTTGGTTTTTTCTAGGATAGAGGGAGCAATTTCTAGGCTCCTAACTTCTTCTTCTTCCTTATTTTTCATAAGTCGCAGAGCTCACACATGGACGGTCCTGTTTCTGGTCCTGATCACCAAGCTAGATTGCCTGGTTGAAGCAGTCATGACCTGCTTTAAGGTAGCGTGCTGGTCTTTCTCCGGCCCTTACCAACTGCCTTGTGCTTCCTCACATAAGTGCTGGATAACATTGGCTTCTAACAGTGAATTGATATATAATTACTTCTACTTATCATATCTTAGTGTAAAGTTGACATCCACTAACTCTTAAAACTCAATATATAAGTGTGTTGCATCATCACTCCCTAGAAATTATTATCTAGAGTATTTTAAATCACATACAAGTGTGTCACATCATCACTCACTAACAACTATTATCTAGAGTATTTTTAAATATTATGCAAATATGCCATATCATTTATAATTTTGTTGTATTTTAAGAAATCAATATGCAAAAAGTGTCAAATCATTATCTCCATATTATTTTCACATTATTAAAATATATACATCTACCATTTCTATATTGTATAACATGCATTCATTCACATATCTTGCAACAAAGTGCGAGGTATCAACTAGTAGTTACTTATATATACAAACGAGCAGAAACAACGAGTAGAATGAGAGGTGGAGTAAGGGGTGTCTACTGCACAGGTACACTATGAAAGTGAAAAAGAAATGTAAGGGGTCTTTTGCCCCCCTTCGGTGTAGGGCCAAGGCCCCCATTCAGATCCACCCTTGTGTCCCTTGTAAGCCACACGGCGAGAGTGTAACAGCCCAATGTATCCCCCACGTTGTATCAAACTCCTCTACATTGATCGTTGCCGGTCGGCGTCCGTAGTTTTTTTCCGCAAGGGTTTTCCACGTAAAATTTGTGTTTCCGTTGTGCATCTATTTTCGTAACATTTTATAATATTTTTTCTTAGTGTAATTACTTGTAAATTAAGTTGGTCCCCTCATACTTAGATCTGACTTCACCATTGTCCGTCATTCCAAAACTTGATGCTAGATCTTCCTGGCACATCTCGGATGATAATAAACTAGGACCTATAATATATTATAGGTGTCGATTCTTTTAAAAAACTGATACTTGTCGAACCGGCACATGTGTCTTCAGCAAGGTGCCAGTTCAGGCCGATGGTGTCCCATGGATGCGCGTTTGGAGCGGGAAAAGCATTATAGGTACCGGTTTAGTATTTCCAACACCGATAGTGCCAAACTGTAGATATGTTTATTTTAGTAGTGGTGGAAACTGAAAGTTAACACTGATCATGTGAAGAAAACTCCTTTAAAGATCCGTATATATATAGATGACATTATTTAGATGCATATGCGTGCACATGTATATTCATGGAAGCTAAGTGAAGTGATTAATTTGCATGTAGGTACGTACAGCGCAGCTACACAGACATATTCACATATATTGATTAATTCTCTTACTTGCTGTGCAATTCTTTTATTGGTCACATGCATGCATGTGGATGCATGAGGAGGATAAAGTACCAGTTAACAACGGATGCATGCTATCTCCGAAAGAAAGAGAGAGACAGAGCGAGAGATTATTATTAATTAGATGCATATATATATATATATATATATATATATATATATATATATATATATATATAGACACACACATGCGCACACGCACAAGCATTATTCATGGAATCTATATATATAGCTAGCTAGGTGATTAATTAGTTAATTTGCATGTACGTAGGTACAGCTTGATATCGACCGGTTGATGGATCGATCAATAGTTAACGCGCACGATCGAGTCAGCTAGCTTATGCACGCAAGCATATGCATAATATCTCTATATACTATTGGCGGCCCGCGCGTTGCCACGGGCAAGAGAGTTAACTGGGTCAAAAAGTGACATTAGCTATCAGCAAATAAAATAGATGTATCATCAGCTTTAAAAAAAAACATAGTACAAATAAAAACAGAGCTTAAAAGTGGCATTCGCCGCCAGTGGCGGAGCCAAGATTTTAAAGTTGGGTATTTCTGTCTAAGTGCTAAACCGCTGGCCATCCCTGCCCCTCGTGGCCGCCGGCCACCCAACCAGCCTGACCGCCTGAGCTTGGCAGAGTGTCGGGTGCTGGCCTCCAGCGGCGGCGGCAATGGTCTCCCCCTCCATGGTAGCACGGTCTAGCTCCCGCCGCCGGTTGCCACCTAGCCTCGCCGCGCCGCCGCCTAGGGTTTGCAAATGGGGAGCGGCGCGAGGGAGCCGAGCCAGGGAGGGATAGGTCACGGAGGGAGAGCGAGAGGGCGTCGTCTGGAAGAGTGGTGGCTAAGTAGGTCAACTGATGTCTGATGGGTCATGACGGAGTGGATCAGGTTGGTAGGAGGCAATGCAAGAGGCCAGTTGGGCCGTGTTTGGATCGAAGAGTTGAGGATTTAGGTGCACTAATATGTGTACATGTGTATATATTAAAAGTATACTTATTTTTTGATAAAAAAATTTTAGGTATTCCCGGGAATACCCAGGAACCAAGGTACCTCCGCCCCTGTTCGCCGCCCCGCGAGTCACCGCCGCCGCATCTGCCGCCCCGCGAGTCGCCGTCGCCGGTGCTCCGCCCGTCGACCAAGCCACTGTGCGCCATGAGCTTCGTCGTCGCAGCTCCCAAGGCCTGGCCAGCGGCCGGATGGAGAGTCATAGAAAGGAGGGAGAACGGTGGGTGGAGGCGGAGAGAGGAGGGAGAGAGGCGGAGAAGCACGTGGAATATATTGGTGGGCGCGGATTTTAATAGGTGGGCGGTGGATTTTTCGCCGTGGTGCTCTTTAATCTGATTTTCGGTGGCGGCATCAGGGAAAATAGCAACATCTTCGCTAGTGGCCCGCTTAACTCGGCCGCCAGCAAAAATCTGTTTTCACTGGCGGTCCGTAGCCCTCCACCTCTTGTTACGTTTTTGCTAGCAGTTTTCTCGTATGACCGTCAGCGAAAATGATAGAATAACGCTATGAAAAATCTTTTTTCTAGTAGTAAATACCCAAATCTACATACCAGAACAGGCGAACAGCTCTTCAAATGAATTCTGTTCAAATTGAAGTCACGTACTCGGGCTTTGATAAACTCTTGAGCTACTCACACATGCGTGCACGTACATCATATCAAATCCTTAGTTTTTTAACCAGTCCGCCGATGAATCTCAGCGCGTCTTGGGTTGCTACAGGGCAACAGTTCCTGTTTGCTTCTGCGCCGCTCGATCTGCTCCTCTCGATTGGATCCATCCGTCCGTCGTCTCCTTGTGGCGGGCGAAGCCGCGATGCTTCCTTCCTCTATCGTATGCGTCGCTTCGCTGGCCCCACATCCCACCAAACAGATCGATGGATCCCATCCCGCACGGCTGCGCAATTCCCCCACGCATCGCTGCATTGGGGCGAGAGGGGAACCGAGCTAGGGTTTCACCTCCCCCGCCCGCCTCCTCCTCCTTACCGCGCGAACCGACCCGACCCCCGCTTCGCCGCTGCCGCAGCCGTGATGGGGACGGAGCGGAAGCGCATGGTGAGCCTCTTCGACGTGGTCGATGAGAGCTCCGTCTCTACCAAGCTCGGCCACGCCGGCACCACCAACAGCACCGCCACCGCCGCGGCCAACCCGTCCATCAATTGGTGGACGGGGAGGCCCTACTCGGCAAGGTACCTCGAGATCCTCTAGAAGCACCGCACGCTCCCCGTGTGGCAGCAGAAGGACGATTTCCTCGCCGTCCTCCGTGACAACCAGACCCTCATCCTCGTCGGAGAAACCGGAAGCAGCAAGACCACTCAGGTATTGAATTTGCACCACCTTTTCCTGTACATCTCCACGTTGAACTGTAAATGTATTTTAGGTTAGCCGTTATTGGTTGTTTGTTAGGGGATTTTTTTCTCTTCTAGATGGAATACCACCACAGTACATTGACCCCCAAATCCATCGATTCGCCGTGGTCAGTACAGGGGAGCGGTGCTCCGGTAGGCCTCTCATCGAGTTGTCTGAATTCCCGGGCCTCCGCTCATCCGCCACCACGCGTGTTCCATGGAGCATGAGCTCCTCTTTAGGGTTTCAGTACGGAGTAGAGTAAGTGTGTTCCGGCCACTGCCGTCATTGCCTTCCACGGGACAGTCAGCTCCAGCAAGCGGATATAGGTAAGCTTCTATGCCTCTGTTATCTTCTCTCTGGATTAGGCCATAAATGTTGATTCCGATGCGTGCCTGCACTATTCCAACTGCTCCCTGTCCAGGATAAAGTTTTGCCACTTCTCTGCTGCTGAAGCATCATTAATTTTAGGCATTAATATCTAATATTTGATTCTTTTCCTTGCAGATCTGCATTTTCATCCGCAACAGCGCTTTATCTGGTCTGACTCTATTCATTTTGTTGTCAATTGGTTGGTTTCGCCATCGTTTACTCTACAACAGATGATTTCCATGGCCATTGTTTCATCCACAGGAAAATTCATGGACGGTTTACAATGTAAATTTAATGTTGGGTGGTGTCTTATCTTGACCAAAGTATGTCAGATTCACTGGCCTGCTGCTGCGTTGTATAACTTGAAAGCTATTTTTCTTATAGCCATGCCATAAGCTTAGATGCACCTTCTACTCCATTGCAGCTGTGTTTTGATATATATGGTGCAGTGACTTTGTGAGCAGCTCAGTTTAATAGAACCAAGGTACGTTGTGCTCTTCTCCTTTTGTTTAATTATATTTGCAGATTTTCAGAATTCTTCAGTAGCTTCATTTGATTTTCTTTACAGTCTTATAGGTAAGATGGTTGATCTCAATCATTGTTTCAAATTGATTGCCTACAACTCTTTGAAATAGAAGGTAAATTAACCATACACTCGTCTACTATATATGTTTGTGTATGTCATATACTTGATGAAATGCTTGATGGACTTAGCCCGTCGGTATGCATTATTAGTTAAGTACTCAAAACTACACACTGCTGTCACTTAATTTTAGATTTCTCATCACGTTCAGTTACATAAGAGTCAGGCCTTAAAGGATATGGCAGCTATTAACTGTATAATATTTTGTCCCAAATGGTTCAGTTCTAGAGCACTTAAAGATGGCTATTGCAGGTATTATAGGCCAGCACAAAGTTTGTTGGTGTTATCTCTTTGTTGCTTGCAGTATACTCATATCACATTGAAGCCAAGTTATGCTATGTATTACGTTGATTTGGTCATGAAATTTTTCTCTCAATTCAGGAAGCATTTTTATCCAACGATGTATGCACCTTCTCTGCTAAACAACTATGCAGTGGATGTGTTCATGATTGTTTTCTTCTGATCCTAGCACATTCCCTGAGATATCCTTCAAGAATGATGACTTCAAATTCATCGCGTGCCTTTTTTCCTCTCTCATATTTACATTGTTATGCCTAGGACAATAGCTTCAGTTTAACAGTGTACCTCGCTGCTTGATAATTGCGATGGGTAAGATACTATCAGTAAAATGTGAATCTATTATGTCCTTGAGATTCTTCATATGGTTATCCTCAACTGCTAACTTCTACTCCCTCCGTCCCACAATATAAGGGATTTTGAGTTTTTGCTTGTAACATTTGATCACTCGTCTTATTCAATTTTTTTTTACAAATATAAAAAACGAAAAGTTGTGCTTATAGTACTGTAGATAATAAAGTAAGTCACAATTAAAATAAATAATAATTTCAAAAAATTTTAAATAAGACGAGTGGTTAAACATTATAAGAAAAACTCAAAATCCCTTATATTATGGGACGGAGGGAGTATGATTTAATCTGTGCGCTGCTGCTTTTCATGTCTCTGCAAATGCAGATGTATTGATGTGACCTTCAATCTCCATGCAGAGTATCATATCATGACACACAAGGATCTTTCGTTGGGTGCTGTGTACAATTATTGTTACCGAGGCCTTTGAAGGTATTACAGTAATATATTGTTACATCTCCTTCACCGGGCTTCTATACTAGAGATCCTCCTATTACTATTTTAGTTCTTTTTAAACCAGACAACCTGATTAGTTATTCTTACTTATCTTTTTATACAAGATTTTTTTTGACAAAATTATATTTGCACCATCAGATGTAAAATGCCAACTTTGTTCAAGCTCCCCTGAGCCATATACCATATATTCATGTTTTGCTTGATTTCTATTCTGTAGTTGAGCAAAATTCTGTGTATAATAATACTTATGCATCTTGCATTGCATTTGAGCTTAATTTTTTGTAGAGGCCACCCTGTGCAGCTTTCTCAATTTCATCCATAACAAAACAACTCTTAGTTAATTGCTTGGGTACATTGTATTTTGATAGCCTTCAGGTCTACTATTTGAACTCACCAATGCTTCGTTTGTATAAACAATTATAGGTCATGTACATGGAACAATTGATACATTTTTTTTAACTATATTATAATGATAAAGAATATTTCATTGATTAGCAAAAGAATCGTATAACTTTTGATTTGATTATTCAATATGTCCGCGGCAATGCGCGGGTCCCAGCTAGTTTTATATATGTTGGTTATGTTCTGTCCCGAGAAATTCGGAGACCATGTGCGCGCGAGCCTTAAATTTATGTGACAGAATGTTCGATTAATAGTTAATTCAGTAGATATTGGAATGCAAAACAAAATTGGGAGACAAGACAGACAACTAAGAATAATTGTTGGAAAGATCGGCTTGGTCGAATGCTTGATGGCCAATTGCGTGTATGGTGTGCCATGCTTGATCTGTGCTGGTTGCGACGCATCGTAATACTCCCTCCGTAATGTATGACGCCGTCGATTTTTTATCAATATTTCACCATTCATCTTATTCAAAACTTTTGTACAAATATAAAAATAGGGACTGTCTATATGACAAACGGCTGAAATTTTTTTGGGTTTTCAGCCTTTTTTATGCCGTGCGATCAATACACGTGTCGCTCATACCACCCCTCCCCCGTGCGCACAAAAATAACAACGCGCGTAGCATGCTCTCAGAAACAGAACCGACTATCCATTCGTTGGGTGATTTCTAGCAAAAAAAAAAAAATCACCCAGATTTTTTCTACCCTTAGATTTACATCTAACAGACTAGAAAAGAAAATAATAAATACATATTTACTTACATGGTATTTTTTTTTATCAAAATTAAAGTGTACTTACATATCATATCAACTGAATTTACAAATATAATTTTAGCTATATAGGATTGTAATTTTATATTTTAAAGAAAATAACAAATACATATTTACTTACACAATATTTTTATCAAAATTACAGTGCATTTACATGTCATATCGACTAAATTTACAAAATATAATTTTAGTTATATAGGACTGTAATTTTATATTTTAATTAAAATAACAAATACATATTTACTTACACATCATTTTTATCAAAATTACAGTGTACTTACATGTCATATCAACTGAATTTGTATATGTAATTTTAGTTAAATAGTAATGTAATATTATATATTATATTTTATTTTAGATATATAGGATATTTACACATAGCTAGGATGTATCTTTCAAAAGCACTATTTCTCGTTATCAGCGGCAAACGTGGGACCCACGAGAGGCCTCATCTCCATCTCGCGGCAACATTGACGCAGAATCGTGCACTGATCTTGGCGCATGATCGTAGGGGCAAAAAACGGTCAAATAGCAACCAAAAAATATCACCCGTGTGATGTTTAGCAAATTTGTTCAGAAACAAATCCCACTCATTTTTTTTGTATGGGCTTAGGTTTGTCATCTGTATGAGCTTAAATTTATCTCTTCACAGCCCATAGAAAAAAATATAAGAGCCCATGACGATTTATCTTTGTGAAACAAGCCCAGACTTGCAAGGAGAGAAAGCAAGAAAAAAAAAGCCCATATACACGTGTTTTGTCCAAAAAAAAATACCAGGAAAAAGAAAGACACACAGATCACGCCTACCGTCTGCCAGCATCACCCACCATCATCACCCATCCACCACCTTGCGATCCAAGAAAGAAAAAAAAAGAGGAGGTCAGCTCAATCGGGAAAGAGAGAATAGTGTGTGCAAAGAAAAAAATCTGCATGCATGCATCGTTTTTTTTTTTTTGGAAACCCCACGGGGTAGTTGTATTATAGTAGAGGGAAACACTGTATAATAGCCATGCAGGCTAGGAGACTACAAAGAAAAAGAGAAAAAAAAAGAAAGCGGTAACGGAGGGTGTAACCACAAAAAGGAGGTGTACGGGTTGTTGGTTATGTTGATCTACACGCTGTCATTTGCACTTCCATAGTTGTTCGCCGTCAGGCACTGGATGCCCTTTGCCCCTCCCGCGCACCATAGCCAGATCTCGTCGGTCACTTTATCAATGATTCTGTGCGGCGGAGTCTCTAGGTTTCCGAAAACCCTGCTGTTTCTCTCCTTCCAAATCTCCCAGGAGAGTAGGATTAGAATCGATTTGACCCCCTTCCTTTTCTCCTTAGCCGTTGCCTGAACTGTTTGGACCCACCAGTCCTCCAGGATTGCCGTCAGGGGCCAATTCTGTGGCCATTGCTGAGGGATGCCTAGCCTTGTCACTATGGCGTCCCAGATTGTCCTTGTAATTGGGCATTCATAGAAGAGGTGTGTGTTGTCTCAAGGTTTCTGAAGCATAGCTGACAGAAGTAGTTGTTTGGCCACTCCCTCTGCAGTAGCCTATCAGCCGTCCAAATTCTGTTTTGGAGGAAAAGCCAAGTGAAGAATTTGCATTTTGACGACGCCCAGCATTTCCATATCATGTTTGCCGATATGGACGGTATGCTACCCAAGAACTGCATTTGGTAGGCTGACTTTGTTGTGTAAGCTCCGCTTGTTGTCCATTTACAACAGATGTTGTCTTCAACGCCTTGGGTTAATGTGATACCTGATGTCCAAAGCAGTTCGAAGACCTTGAAAAATTCAGCGACAAGGACAGTTGTCAAGTTGTATCTGATATTATCAATCCAGGTATTGTCCTGTAGAGCTTCTGCAACTGTCCTCTTTTTCCTTTCTGGCGTGGTGGTAGAGGTTGGAGCCATTGCCTTTAGGGAGGAATTGCATGCATGCATCGTTGAAGATGAAGAGAGATGAGAAGGGGGGTCATTCAATGCTGAATATTTGGGAAGCCCTATGTATGTGCAGAAATAGATGAAAAACTCTAGATTCAAGTACTTACCTCCCTGATTCTGAGCTAATTTGAAACCAATGAACTTCTTCTGTTTAACTATCAGATTTGGAATATTTCAAAATCACTCTTTGTGTTGCTTTCATAACAGTATTTATTTGTGGTGCTTCACCTTGTCTTGATGCATGAACCATGTTTGATAAAACACACTTGGTTCAGAATAAAAACCGAAAAATATTCAGAAAACTGTCCATAGATAAAGTTGCATCATGTAACTAATTAAAAAAAGTTGCATATCCATAGTACAAAGATCAAGACACAAACTAGTTCTTAGAGCCTCTGAGATGTTCAGTTCTCAATGAAAACAACTGAAAATTGCAAACTATCTAATTCCATTAGTTGTCTGGAGAGCAAAGTGTCACATGAGTTGGATTGTTCTTTCTACAGGTCATGTTAGTTTCAGATTTTCAGTAGCTTAATAGGAGTTTGTAACAGAAGTTGATTATCGATAATTAGTTCAATGACACTTAAAAAAAATAAAACAAACAATTAACCCTTATATTATCACTATCATCATCACAAGCATATCATCATAACCCTTGTACATGTACTACAGACTGAAAGAAGAGATCCAGAGATAAAAGTGCAAGAAAAAAATTTTAGGTTTTAGCGGGGGAAGAATCTCACTAGCGAGACTGTAGTCGGTAGCGATATAAGCTATGGGCAGCAGCAGTGGCGCACATAGGGCTTGGAGAGCGCGGGGCTGGGAGAGCAGTTGTGAGCAAATTGCCCACAGCTGGCTATAGCCAAGAATTATTTAAATTTTTTAACAAAATTTACAAAACTGAAAAAAAATTGACAAAACAAATACAAAAACACACCATTTCTAAAACTATGCTCATTTCTGAAACACCAATGTGCATTAACTGATATTTGTAGCATCTGGCAGAACTACAAATTCATTTATCTACCTAATTATGGGTTGAACTCTACTACTACTACTTGCATGACAACTCTTAGATGCTCAAAGCTTTAGCTGTTACACCCTAGCTAATGGAAAAGAGCTGCATTATTATGTGGGAGATGATATAAATTTAACTGCATAACAGAGTTGCATCTTTATTAATTCAATGTTTCACTTTAGTCTAACAAAGCAGAGTTACACTCCTGCATTTTGAGAAAGTTTTGGTTTCTGAACATCTACCATCGTACAGTGTTCAGTTAAGTTTGATAGTGCCAAGACTAACCTGTTGACTAAAAAAATGCAGGGACCATAGCATCCCTTTGAATCCATGATCTGGGCCACGGAGTCATTGAACTATAGCATGAAACTCATAAGGCCCTTTGAATCCATGAATTGAACCAAGGAGCCATTGAATAATACTGCTAGCTGAAATGTATTAAGTACTTGAAGTGCCTAATCAAACATTGCTACCTGAAAATTTCACAAAACTAAGAAATTGGCTTGATTAATATTAAATTTAAAAAAGGGACAAAGACGAACACAAAGACAAATAAGACAAAAATACAAAAACAAACTGACAAAAAACTTTAAGTCCAGTAAACTTTAATTAGTTAGGTACTAGAAGCTTGATTAATATTAAATTTAAAGAACAGACAAAAGACAAAGACAAAAATAAAAAACAAACTCAGAGAGTGTGAACAAAACTGGCACGACATAACTTCTTCACACAAAACATTTCTAGAAATATTACATGACATGATTTCTTGAGACAAAACTGATAAATTACAACAAATCACAAATATTACATGTTGTGGTTTTCAGGTTGGGTGAAAGACTCACATAAAGAAGATTATTAGTAATACCTGCTCAAATGGTGGATATGTATGATCAGCAGTCCTTAATGAGACTTCAGCGGGTAAAAATGGTTCTTCCTTGCATTTCTCCCTATTGTACCTGACAAATCTTAATGAAAAATATCATCTCTTGTCAGGTTCAAAACAATTGTGATCAGAGTTTACATCAATTTGCACTGACAAAGCTGCAACTAGAATTCAAACAAAACTGACTACCGGCAAATATCC